GATTTTGTTTAAAGTCAATTGAATTTGCATATGTTGGGAAAGTTTAATAAATTTTAATTTAGATTATTATTTTTTATGTTATAATTGTATTGTTATTATGTGTTGGATCTTTATTTTGTAGTGTTTTTCTTCTTTTATATCTTGATTAATTTTGGGCTAGTAGATAACAAATTCAACAAAACCGATTATGTCAAATTTTAATATATTAGATTGGCAATATGCTAATTAGTTATCTTGCTTTGGAGTTGATACTAAAATGTTAGATTGGAGATGTTGGCTACTGGAGTTAGTAAGTTACCTTCAAATAATTAAAAAGAAGATGGTTGACCATTTTCGTAGGAGAACTACCTATGGCTCTGTTTGGATTAGCTGTTTTTTGGAGTGTTTTTGAAAAATTTTGTTGTAACAGAGTTTTTAGAGTATATTTTGGAATATTTTTAGAAAATATTTTAGAATCTTTAGGAGTAGAAGAGTTTCTAGAATATATTTTGAGATATTTTTTAAAATTTTAAACTAATTTTTGGATTACCTTTTAAAGTATTTTTTCATAAATTTTTACTGTATTTAAAAAACTAGTTTTTGAAAAACAGAGCCTATAATCAAATTAGAATTAAAAACTTTTAAAAGAAGCATGAAATCTTTTTAGATTCAATGGTTTATAATATCTAGTAAAACATATTGATCATACTTTTTGTTGGTTCTTTAACACATACTATTTAAGTTACTATTTGGTGATAACCGTAATGCCAGATTATGATAAACATGTAACCATTGTTATGATAGTTAGTGCTTTACATTTGTCTGATATATTATTATATCAAGTTGATCTAAACTTGCATGTTCTAATTTAAAATCAAAATTTTATAAAATATAGTTTTAATATTATTTTAAATAATGTTCTTTTGGAAGAAATCCTATAAATACTTCTTGCCAATATTGATGAAAATTTTTGTTGGAATTGTTGTTAAAAACTCTAGATAATAAAACTCTTTTTTTTTTTTTATCCTTCGTTCTCTTTCTGCCATTCTTCCAAAGATTTATAATTTACTCATGGGATGTTTGGCCATTTGTATGCATGACCCCATTCAATAGCGGTAAAAAGTGAAAAACTTGAAATGTTTCTTTCGTCTCTTCTGCATAGATTTGGGAGCGTAGTGCAATCAGATAACATGTACTAAATAGTTCACACAAAATATCAGCCACTCCTAATCTACTCCTAGAGATAAGAGCCTATCAGCCAACACATAATATCTCTAGAGTCTATCAGTAAGAATCCTAGTTAGTCCTCCTGTGGCTCTAGCTTTGGGCTTGGAGGCTTGGACTTTGACTTTGACTTGTGCTTGTCCCTTGGGCTTCGGTTTGAAGCCTTTAAGGTATCATCTTCATTGTGTCCATAGTAAGAGGGATCAAATGAAACTCCTCCAAGCTTAAGTTGACGGTTACAGGCGTGAGAATCCAGCCGTGATTTGTCAAACAGATTGCCACAATGACTGCACTCATTCAATATCTCTAGATTTTTCTTTGATCTCTTCTTCCCCGTTCCGTAATCAATGTGATAATGCCGCCTCAGTTTCTCCAGAGAAGGAGAACACTGAAAACGGCAATGATAACATTGAAACACCCTATCTCCAGCTTCCTTTCGTTTAATTGGATTTAGGATTAAAAAGAATTCTGCTGCTACTTTTAATATGTTTGGCTTTACTAAACTTTATATTGTTAGAAGTTTTTTAATAACTACATATGACTTTAATAAAAAAAAAAATACAAATATTTTATTTGTATCAATTGCTCCCTTCTTAGCTCCTTTTTTTAAATTCAAAAGAGTTGAAAAATCACTATGATTCAACTTAGGTGGAGTTGAAACAAGTGGATGAGAGGCGATAATAAGGAGTAACATGTGCAAAAATGCAACAAACTCATGGGCGGTAATAGACCTTTCGAAAACCATAGAAGTACTTGTACAAAAAAAAAAAAAAAAACATGATGATATGGAGTATTACACTTTTAGAGGTTATAAGAAATGTGATGAGGTGGAGATCTTCTATGCCGAATTAATAATTAATATTTACTTCACCTTTGTTTTTCTTAAATAGCATAATCAAGAGTCAATTGCTTATGCTACTCATTTCGGTATAAATAATGATCAACAATTTTATTTTGTTGGTATTTGGCTTGCCCAAATTGGGTGATGATAGATTTTACCGGAAGTCTCTTTTGAAGATAAATGTGAAAAATTATTCTGCATTTTTTAAAAATATTACTAAATACAGGGGATGTTAAGTGATTTGCTGGGGTCTGATGTTGATTTTGGTAGGTTGAGGTGTTCATTAGAATTTTGTAATATTAAGTCTTGACTCGTGTGACTTTTGGATTCAATATTATTAAATATTAATGTCTTGACTCAGTAACTTCTAAATTCAACATTATTAATGTTTTGTCTCGTGCAACTTCATAATGTAACGTTAATGTGTTAATGTGTTGGCTTAAACAAAGATATTCTTTCATATTAATTTCTTTTGTTGGGATCATTTTCATTTAATTCTTATAATAAATACATTAAATTTTTTAAAATTTTGATATTCTTTCAAATAATATGATCCAAGGCCTTGGATATAATGAAAAATACTAATAATTTATGGTTGATAACTTTTTTATAGTAGCATATGTTTTGATTGATTTAATTATATGAAATTATGTAATTAATTATATTAAATTTCTATAGATGGATACAAGTAGTAATGATGAGATTATAATGGTAATTGGTATCGTCACTTTGATTTTAGTAGCAAAATATGTAAGTCTTGAAACTTTTAAAATTCTGATTGTCATATCAAAATTACATTGTATTAAAAGAGATAAAGTTAGGCAAGATTATACAGATAGCATATTATATGAAAGTTATTCTCATTGTTTAGGTCAAATTAGGATGGACCAAGATATATTTTGTCAATTACTAATTACTCTCATAATTAAATAATTGTTGTAATCACCTATCTATATGTCAACAAGAGGGCAATTGCTGATATTTTTACAAATAATGAGTTATAATTTGAGGTTTTGAGTTATGAAGGGCTACTTATATAGGACAACTGAAACTATAAATAGGTATTTTTTCATTATTCTTGATGCCATATTAAAATATGTCTACGAGTGACATATATAATTATCAAATGGTGAAATTGCAATGAAGAACTATAATAGTTGAAGAATTTTCTAGAATAAAGTTTGTCAAGTTTGTATCTAACCAAAACAGTTGCATGTTTGCATTTATGATGTACTCTTTGCAAATATGGTAATAAATAGGTTGGGGCCTATGTCTTATCCCTTACCTTTTTCAAGTGACTTTTGTTAAAAAATGAAATACGTAGGAAAAATTGAATTGCTCAAATTTTCAGAGATTCATTTTGAGTTAAGTTTTAACTTGTATGGTTAGTTATTTTTATTTCATTTCAAAATATTTTAAAAATTTTCATAAACTTCCATTCCATTGTTGTTCTTAGAATTTAATTTTGCCTTAAACATTATATTGCAGAACTATAATTTATCGATTTTCTTGATGCAAAGTGTTATAGAACAATGATTCTTTATATAATATCAATGATTCTTTATTATTTATCTTTCCATAGTTAAATGATCTTAATGATTTCTTTGCCAAAAAATGATTTTCTCTCAATATTGATATTTAAGTGAAAATTTTTGAAAATATTATGGATTTATGACTATTAAACTAAATTTGTCTATATCTAATTGTTACTACTTTGGTTTAATAGTCCATAAACATTTCCTAATCAATATGAATTATTTTTTAAATTAGGGTAAAATTTCATCGATATCCTTCTATATGTTGTAGTTAAATTGATTTTGTTTAAAGTCAATTGAATTTGCATATGTTTGGAAAGTTTAGTAAATTTTAATTTTGATTATTATTTTTTATGTTATAATTGTATTGTTATTATGTTGGATCTTTATTTTGTAGTGTTTTTCTTCTTTTATATCTTGATTAATTTTGGGCTAGTAGATAACAAATTCAACAAAACCGATTATATCCAATTTTAATATATTAGATTGGTAATATGCTAATTAGTCATCTTGCTTTGGAGTTGATACTAAAATGTTAGATTGGTGATGTTGGCTACTGGAGTTAGTAAGTCACCTTCAAATAATTAAAAAGAAGATGGTTGACCATTTTCGTAGGAGAACTACCTATGACTCTGTTTGGATTAGCTGTTTTTGGGGGTATTTTTGAAAAATTTTGCTGTAGCAGAGTTTTTAGAGTATATTTTGGAATATTTTTAGAAAATATTTTAGAATCTTTAGGAGTAGAAGAATTTCTAGAATATATTTTGAGATATTTTTTAAAATTTTAAACTAATTTTTGGATTACCTTTTAGAGTATTTTTTCATAAATTTTTAATGTATTTGAAAAACTAGTTTTTGAAAAACAGAGCCTATAATCAAATTAGAATTAAAAACTTTTAAAAGAAGCATGAAATCCTTTTAGATTCAATAGTTTATAATATCTAGTAAAACATATTTATCATACTTTTTGTCGGTTCTTTAACACATACTATTTAAGTTACTATTTGGTGATAACCGCAATGCCAGATTATGATAAACATGTAACCATTGTTATGATAGTTAGTGCTTTACATTTGTCAGATATATTATTATATCAAGTTGATCTAAACTTGCATGTTCTAATTTAAAATCAAAATTTTATAAAATATAGTTTTAATATTATTTTAAATAATGTTCTTTTGGAAGAAATCCTATAAATACTTCTTGCCAATATTGATGAAAATTTTTGTTGGAATTGTTGTTAAAAACTCTAGATAATGAAACTCACTTTTTTTTTTTTTTATCCTTCGTTCTCTTTCTGTCATTCTTCCAAAGATTTATAATTTACTCATGGGATGTTTGGCCATTTGTATGCATGACCCCATTCAATAGCGGTAAAAAGTGAAAAACTTGAAATGTTTCTTTCTTCCCTTCTACATAGATTTGGGAGCGTAGTGCAATCAGATAACATGTACTAAATAGTTCACACAAAATATCAGCCACTCCTAATCTACTCCTAGAGATAAGAGCCTATCAGCCAACACATAATATCTCTAGAGTCTATCAGTAAGAATCCTAGTTAGACCTCCTGTGGCTCTAGCTTTGGGCTTGGGGGCTTGGAGGCTTGGACTTTGACTTTGACTTGTGCTTGTCCCTTGGGCTTCGGTTTGAAGCCTTTAAGGTATCATCTTCATTGTGTCCATAGTAGGAGGGATCAAATGAAACTCCTCCAAGCTTAAGTTGACGGTTACAGGCGTGAGAATCCAGCCGTGATTTGTCAAACAGATTGCCACAATGACTGCACTCATTCAATTTCTCTAGATTTTTCTTTGATCTCTTCTTCCCCGTTCCGTAATCAATGTGATAATGCCGCCTCAGTTTCTCCAGAGAAGGAGAACTGTGACGCCCCACTTCTCCCTAAGGCGAACCAAAGGGTATTCGCGGGACGCCTGCCTAGCTCTCGCCAGGACTCAAACAATTCCATTCAACTTATAGTCGGATCACACAACACAAGCCAATAACTTAGATACAATAAATGCGGAAGTATTCAAACTTAATAATAGTCATCCATTCTCCAAACCACACGTCAGAATACAGATTACATTTCGTCCAAAGGGTCACATCACGGGGTACCTATCAGCTTGCCACCCGCACGCGGGCATCCCCTACGGAGAGTTTCGCTTCGTGACTCTTCACGAACGAGAGGCTCGGGGCTTTTCCAGACGAAGGACTTAAGGTCCCAACTGTCGGCATATGGCTCTGATACCAACTGTGACAGTTCTCAGGGTCACATTTCCATACCAAAAGTACAATTCCAAAACCAAAGGCATAACCAAAAGTAATAACAAGCCCTAAACAAAAGTACATCAAGAGGGCTTTTTCATTTTACCTCCGAGTTCAAACCTGTTAAGGAAAACAAGTCTACAGGGTGAGCAAAACGCTCGTGAGGCCAAGAACACACATGCAGACACATAGTTCAGATAACAAGCCCAAATACAATTCAGGTAATAGTTTGCAAGTAATTAATAACGCCGACAAAATGTAACCAGAAACAATTCAAGGATATGGAAGCTCTCAGGAGCTAAGTTCCACATTTGCCGATGTCATTTGTATATCTCCCCGTGATGACTCTCCGTCAACCGGGTTGATATTTTCATATCCGTAGTTCACCACTTACTTCTCATCCGTCCACCATACACCACTTCGGGCCCGCACAACATTTATAAGGCGATACTTTACGAGTAAGCCAAGCGAGATCTCTCAATAGATCAAGCTTATCATATAAATCTCATGGTTTACCGAGGTTCCCGACCAAGCCCATGCCGGCTCGAGTTCCAAGGTCGGCCTATGAGTTTGGGCGTCCCCCATGTATCATGTAAATGTCGAGGAGATTCACTCCATCGACGTATGCAATCATAGCATACCATGTCATATATTCAAGCATTTGACAGGTTTAAACATGTATTTCAGGTCATATAAACCAGGCAAAGCATGTCAGGCATGAGTCATTTGTTTCAAATGAGGACGAGTGCGATTAAGTACACACTCGACTCCATTTTTTTCCAAAATCAGATAGGCTAAACATGTAATCAGGTAAGTCAAACATGAATCAAGTCTTTAGAGTTCAAGTAGGCATACACTTGACACTCACCAGTTATGCAAGCAAGTAGGTTGGAGGGAGAGTTCAAACTTCCACGGTAGGGTCCTCTTGGAGGTCCTCGTGCGTGCCTGAACATCGAATAGTAGATAATTACTATAGGTCCCCAAGTGGTGAGAAAGATTGGACACGGGTAAGGTTCGGAAATATTTGAAAACTTCGTTTGACTTGTCTTTGAAGTTGGATTCTCAAAAGGGTGCAGGACTCGAGTAAAAATCAGATTATTATCCTTAAAATCATTGGTTGGAAACGAGTACGAGCAAAACGATTGCAAATCGAACGATCGAAATCGAAAGAGGGCTGGCCACGCCACAATCCGGCCGGATTTCTGGCCGGATTGGAGGCAGTGGCTAACCTCCCTTTTTTTCAAATTTCACCACCAATCCGACCGATAATCCGGCCAGAAACTGGCCGGATTCAAGGCCGGATTCTGGTGGAATAGTTCCCGCGTGGATTTTCTTTGAAATTTCAGAATTTTTCGATTTTTAGTTAAATCTTTGAAAAATCATAACTTCTTTGCTACTAGTCGAAACTTGATAAATTTGGTACCGTTGGAATCGTCTTCCAGAGTACTAAAAGTCCTTAGAAGACACTGTTCCATGAATCTAAGTGGAAGGTATTCAAAAATGAGCCTAAAGTTGCTGTTCTAGATTACCAGGATTGAGCCGGGGTTGGTTTTTCGCTAACTTTGGAAATTCGGCAAAAATCACTCGTTGCAAACCGGCCCTTGAAACTTATAACTCAATTAGAAGTACAAGTAAAGTTTCGGACAGAACAAGCGGCTCAAGAATCGGAGTTTCGAGCACCAAGATATGGTAGCTCAAAGTTGGGAAAAATTCAAGACTGTTACAAAATTTCCAGATTTGGTTCCGACTTTGGACCTTTTATTAAGTGTCGAAACGGACTTGAATTGACACCAAATTTTGCAGTATAATACTCCCATATGAAGGGTATCTCTCTATAAAATTTCATGGAAAAATACCCTCGGAAAGGTGGTTAATCAATCAACCAAAGTTTGGAAAAATCCTTAAGGCAATCTGTCCAAATCTAAGGTTTCAAAAACGAGGCAGTCGCCGTATTTTGATCATAACTCCCTCAATTTAACTCAGAATTGGGAATGGTTGATAGTGTTAGAAAATAAATTCATAGGGCTAAAATTTCACAGAAGAAATCGTTTCAAGTTTCAGCATGCAACTGGTTCGAAATTAAGCCTAAAGTTGCAGCATCATCAAATCATTTCGGCAGAACGGAGAAACAGGACAGCCGACTTCAGATGAATGGTGTGGCTCACACACATGAAACCAGAATGTACATTATACACCGTTGGAAACATGAGAATGTCTAGTTTCAAATGCCGCTAACGGCACTTGATTTCGACGTCGGAGTACGGAGTTATGGATGAAATACGAACACTGGTCTGGATTACGACGAAACCGTTTTCCAGATTACTAGCTTTGGGAATAAATTCGTTTGACCAACCAAAACTCAGTATTTTTCAATGAAAATTTTTACACAACTACTACAACATATAAACAACACAATCAAGCCATTAAATCCTCAAATTTCTGCATTAAAGTGACCGAACAGAGCAGGGGTAAAATGGTCAGATTTGGCCTTTTGCACCTAACGTGAGTTTCTATCACTTTTCCATCAACAAACAACTGATTTAAACACTAATTCCACATTATAAACATCATCAAGAACAAAATCAGCAGCAACCCAAGAGTGGGAATTCATAGAGCCCACTTTTCCAATTTCTCCAACAACAACCACAATCTATATGCAAATTCAAGCTCATAAGCGTAATTTAACTTCCATAGGACAAGTTTAAGGTATTAGATCGTTACCTACTTTGATGGTTTGTCTAAACAGAATTTTCGGTCCCTTTGAAGCCTGAAGAAAACCGTGAAAGCTCCTCCCTTTTACAGCTCAAAGTGTTGTCCAAGTGTAGAGCTAAGTGTATGTGAAATTTGGTGTGAATCTATGGAGGTTTGAGCAAGATTTTTGAGGTGAAGTTTGTGAAATTTGAAGATGTTTTGCCTCAGCTGCAGCTCGGCCAGAATGAGAAGAAAAGAGGAATGTTTTGATCTGATTCCTTTGCCTATAAAGAAAGCTTGCCGTCAAATATTTTAAGTACGTAAAATCGATTGCAACTAGTGCGCCTACGCGCGCGTTTTGTACTCGATTTCTCTTAAGTTTGTTGCACTAGTGCACTAAACCTCTAGGGCACCTATATTCATATAAATATTATTCATTCTTAATTGTCCCAAAATAATGGTCCAAAGTCCCTCAATTAAGCGCGCACGTGAAAACATGTATTTCCAATTTAGGCGCGATAAAATGAAACCTTTGAGAAATTCTTGTAACGATCGTACCACTAACTATCACTTGAGTCTTTAAACCTAAAATTGCCTATTTAGGACCATTGTATATGTCTCAAATTTTTGAGCTTATTGTACTCCCAAATGGCTAAAGTTTTCAGACACGTTTTCCCTTTTTCACTAAACAAGTTTCTAAGAAAAATAATTTTTTTTTGAAACGAGATACTTTAAAAATATAACGAAGCTATAAAACCATGTACTTAGGTCTAATAAGGATAGAAAATAATATTCGGGGCAAAAATCCAAATAGATAATTAATTGAGCCAAAATTAGGGGTTTTAACAATAATAATTTTACGAGTCCTCACGTGAATTGAGTATTAATTCCTCCATTAACCTTTCTTAATCTATTATTGATCGTTCTTAATTCTTCAATATTAATACACTCCCTATTCAAGTATAGCCTAGAGACACATGCACCCGTCGTTCCGGACTAATCAAATTTTCGAAAAGCGAATTTTTCAACAAAACGCTTTAAAATTATAAAGAGGCGTGATTCCATATAAATGGATTTAAAATGGTCGAAATAAATAATTCGAAAAAAATGAGTGAATAATCATTTAAATATTTCAATAATATTCTATAAAAATAAGAAAATTTTCGGGTTCTCACAAGAACACTGAAAACGGCAATGATAACATTGAAACACCCTATCTCCAGCTTCCTTTCGTTTAATTGGATTTAGGATTAAAAAGAATTCTGCTGCTACTTTTAATATGTTTGGCTTTACTAAACTTTATATTGTTAGAAGTTTTTTAATAACTACATATGACTTTAATAAAAAAAAATACAAATATTTTATTTGTATCAATTGCTCCCTTCTTAGCTCCTTTTTTTTAATTCAAAAGAGTTGAAAAATCACTATGATTCAACTTAGGTGGAGTTGAAACAAGTGGATGAGAGGCGATAATAAGGAGTAACATGTGCAAAAATACAACAAACTCATGGGCGGTAATAGACCTTTCGAAAACCATAGAAGTACTTGTACAAAAAAATAAAATAAAACATGATGATATGGAGTATTACACTTTTAGAGGTTATAAAAAATGTGATGAGGTGGAGATCTTCTATGCCGAAATAATAATTAATATTTACTTCACCTTTGTTTTTCTTAAATAGCATAATCAAGAGTCAATTGCTTATGCTACTCATTTCGGTATAAATAATGATCAACAATTTTATTTTGTTGGTATTTGGCTTGCCCAAATTGGGTGATGATAGATTTTACCGGAAGTCTCTTTTGAAGATAAATGTGAAAAATTATTCTGCATTTTTTAAAAATATTACTAAATACAGGGGATGTTAAGTGATTTGCTGGGGTCTGATGTTGATTTTGGTAGGTTGGGGTGTTCATTAGAATTTTGTAATATTAAGTCTTGACTCGTGTAACTTTTGGATTCAATATTATTAAATATTAATGTCCTGACTCAGTAACTTCTAAATTCAACATTATTAATGTTTTGTCTCGTGCAACTTCATAATGCAACGTTAATGTGTTAATGTGTTGGTTTAAACAAAGATATTCTTTCATATTAATTTCTTTTGTTGGGATCATTTTCTTTTAATTCTTATAATAAATACATTAAATTTTTTAAAATTTTGATATTCTTTCAAATAATATGATCCAAAACCTTGGATATAATGAAAAATACTAATAATTTATGGTTGATAACTTTTTTATGGTAGCATATGTTTTGATTGATTTAATTATATGAAATTATGTAATTAATTATATTAAATTTCTATAGATGGATACAAGTAATAATGATGAGATTATAATGGTAATTGGTATCGTCACTTTGATTTTAGTAGCAAAATATGTAAGTCTTGAAACTTTTAAAATTCTGATTGTCATATCAAAATTACATTGTATTAAAAGAGATAAAGTTAGGCAAGATTATACAGATAGCATATTATATGAAAGTTATTCTCATTGTATAGGTCAAATTAGGATAGACCAAGATATATTTTGTCAATTACTAATTACTCTCACAATTAAATAATTGTTGTAATCACCTATCTATATGTCAACAAGAGGGCAATTGTTGATATTTCTACAAATAATGAGTTATAATTTGAGGTTTTGAGTTATGAAGGGCTACTTATATAGGACAACTGAAACTATAAATAGGTATTTTTTCATTATTCTTGATGCCATATTAAAATATGTCTATGAGTAACATATATAATTATCAAATGGTGAAATTGCAATGAAGAACTATAATCGTTGAAGAATTTACCAATGGTTTGCTGCAAGTTTATTTCTTCGTTTAATTAACTAATCAGATATTAATAGCCATTAATAATCATTTAAATTATAAAATAGAATTATACAATGACTATAGATAGGGGCGCATGTTATTACAAGTACAACCATTGAAATTTATTAAATATTAGTTAGTTTTTAGATTTTAATTTTAGCAACATCTTATGTGATAAGTTATTGTATAAGTATTTGATTTGTAATTTGAATTCTAATTTGATAGGATTTTATTTTTTGTGATTATTATCTTCGTAGGATAACTTCTATATAAACTCTTAACAATGTCAATGATATTGAAATATCATGAATAACTACATCCTTTTCTAAAATTTATCATCATATTAGAGTTACATCCATAGTTTTGTGTTGGCAAAATTTCTCCATCACATGACTTACAATGTCATAAAGTGATCAAGAAGAATCAGTAAATAATGGAATAATACTTGATGCTATTGATTATATTTCTCCCCATTATCTTCATGTGTTTGACTATTTTGATATGGTTTTGATTTCCTAAAATTAACGGTGAATTTTTTCTTGTTGGAGAAATGTTGTTAAAATTACTTTTGTAGCAAAAAAAAAAAAAAACATTCTATGCTTTATTGATGGAAGGACAATTACCTTGGAATCATCTTTCCCAAAAATTATGGTGTAGAAAGATTATAGTAAAATGATTATCTATTGATGATATTTCAATTCCTTTCATGGGTTTCTTAATTTTGCAATTTTTCTCCTTTCACATTACCTCAAGGATAATAATTCATGTTATGGTTGATTGTTTTTTTTTCTTCAATGTTGTTCTCCATCCTTTTTTATAGGTGTAAACCTTTATGCCTCTCTTGAGGGTGTGCATTTATTCCCTTTATTGGGTATTTACTTTTTAATTTATATTGTATGTTAGTTATTCTCGCTTGCAATATTTTCAATGGGTTACATACCATTTCAATTAATAGGTTATATTCCCCTTAGGAATTTCCTTTTAATAGTGCAGTTGTGCTTTTCCACAATAATGAATCTTCATCATTTTGAAATAATATCAAGAATCATTAACTTGAAGAGATTCAAAACACTTAGTCGTGATCAATAACTTGAGGGAAAGTATTGAAAATTAGTTAGTTATTATTTTAATTTTAACATCTTTTGTTACCATTATCTTTGTAGGGCAACTTTTATATAAACTCTCAACAATGTTAATGAAATTGGAATATCATCAATAACAACATCCTTTTCTAAAATTTATCAAAATCCAAAGAAGATTTCGAGGTTGAAAGGGCATGCCAACTCAAAATATTTTATATATTATTTCTTTTGATATCAAATTTTCATATGTGCTTACTTATTTGGAAGAATCAACACATGAACTATGTTTCAAAAAATGCTTTTACTGGACTAGGGAGTCTACAAGTATCCCAAGATACTTGTTTTAATTTATTTAAATCACACATTTTGTCAAAACACTAATAAATTATGTAAAGACAATTATTTTCCAGTTCTAGATAAGTATAATCTTGTAAATATTAGGAATGACATTCACAATGGGTTTTTACCCTTCCTATCATTGAATATTGCCTAAAAGATAATGATGATGATCTCTCTAAAAATAAGAAGCACTTTTCAATTTTCACAATTCTTCTTTGCGAATCACTATTAAATGAACCTTTATGGTATTTAACAAACTGAATTAAGATGATGGACAATAATCCATTTTAGGATTCTAAAACTCAAAAGGATGTGGTGCTAGTATATGTTGTATTATATATAATTAAATTATTAAAATAACTTAAAATGACAAATTCATAAATGTAGTCCTTCAAGAGTAATAATTGCAAACTCTAAGTGTTCTAACTAAACAAGGATCTCAAATATAAAATGAGAGTGTGTTTTATAAAATAGAGAATGAACGATGAACAAAAATGCATTTGTACATGCTATATATGCAGATTATATATAAAGAAGACATCTACATGGTGGTTGTACTTTCATTTCTTTTTTATTTTTTTTCAAAATTTTAGTTTCTTGAATTGTTAGCATAAGTAGTAAATAGATGCTTGCAATTTTAGATAGTATTTTCTTAGAAATTTTATAAAATTTTAACTATTTCATAATTTCAAATATCTAACCATCTTGTTAAAATAAGCTACAAGAGTGTATCCAAATTTAGACATTCTAAAGAAAAACAAGGAAAATGAAAAAGGAAGCAATGATCGAATCTAAAAGATGACTGTGAAAAAAAAGAGAGATATTTTGACCTTTTTTTTCATAGTGATACAATCTATTTTATTATTTCTTTTTTCTTACTCTTTCAATAACAAAGCAAAGAATGAAGGAAGAAATGATCGAATCGAGAAGATGACAATGTGATAGAAAAAATAAGGCATTTCGACCTTTTTGTTGCATGGTGAGACAATCTATTTTGTTACTTATTTTTTCTTACTCTTTCAATAACATA